AAATCTCTTTAAAAAAAAAAAAAAAAAGCAGGCAAGGGGAAAAGGGACCAGACAGTGGCACAGTGGTGAAAGCAATGCTCTATGAGGCAATCCCACATGGGAAGGTTTCCAGTTCCAGCCCCGAGACCTCCTCACAGTGCAATGAGCACACACATGCCCATGATTCTGGCTGGCTGAGGTGGGGGGCAGGGCTTGCTGCTGATCTGTGGAGGGTTCTCTCTTTCGCTCTAGCTCATGCAAGAAAAACCTTAGGGGAAAAAATTTGTGGAAAATAGAAATAAATTGCAAGTTAATGTGGGTCTGCAAAAAAATGTGGGTCTGCTTTTTTCATGATACATATTTTTCCATGAACTGTTTGAAGATACTCTGTGTCTCACAACATCACACTGCCATTTTATGAGCTCTGCTTCATACCGGGGTCATTTTAAAAAAGTTAAGGAAGCCCCTGGAGCTCTACACCGAGAGCTGCCACAGCCCCACATGGAGGGTGAGGCCCCCACAATGGGAATCCCCCACAGAAACCAGTCCGGACGGTACCTTGGCTGAGTCTGTGATGTTGTCCCAGTACGGAGCTGGGAACTCCAGCTTCCCCGCCAAGATCTGGTCGAAGAGGTCCTCCTGGAGATTGCTCTCACTAAGTCAGACAAAGACATGGAAGAAAAGTCAAGGTTACCTTCCGGCTCGTTTACAAAACGCTCACAGGAAGACAGTGGAGAGGACGCCCGTGTCTTTGGCCTGGGCATTTCCTATCTCGATTGTGTATCTCAAGTGCATTTGTGATGCCAAGTTTACGTCTTAGACATCACTGCCGAAGAACACACCCAGGGCCCGGCAGGTGGTGAGGTGGTGAAGGACGCCGGACTCCCACATGGCCGACTGCAGCTGGAGTCCTGGACCTGGCAGCTTGCTCTCTCTCTCTCTGGTCAAATTAAAATAAATGAATAACGTTAAATAAAATAATTCTTACACACACACACATACATCCACAAGCCGGGGACTCAGAGAGACAAGGTGGACATAATGACTCAAGACATATCTCCAATGGATGCATGCAGAGTTTCATTTTGGCGAAGATGGGAAAGCTCTGGAGAGATCTGAATCCAATCTCTCTGCCCTTCTCTCCCTGTTACGAAGATAGCCAAGATCAGCAAAACCATTGACGTGTAAGTCACAAGGCCTTCCAAGTCAGGGTAAAACATCCGTGACATTGTCAGCTCACCAACAGATCATGACTTTCATGAACCTGAACCATCCAGGGACCATCCAGAATGGCACAGGGTGAGCAGACCCTCCTTGGCTGCTCACAGACCGGCCCCCTCCCTGCCCCACCTTGCCTGATTGTGCAGCCTCAACGGACGTTCGCACGTAGACCTGGTGCCTAGTAGACAGGAGAATGGAGGAGAAGGGATTGCGGTGTGGCCATACCCCCTGGGGGGTGATTTCTCGCTTTCTGTCTCTCTGTCTCTCTCTGTCTTTCTGGTGAGCATGTGTGCCATGTAGCAAAAAAAAAAAAAAATCCAAAAAAACAATGGTGAGCACAGCTCAGAGCACAATGCGATGTTACGGAAACCTTCAGAAAACCAGGAGACCCCACCAACGTCGGAGATATAGGAAATGACCTATTTCCAGGATCACGCCTTCAGCCATGCCTTCCGTTATCCCATCCATCTCCCCTTATTCTTTCTGCACTCTCAGGTAATCTATAGCGCTCTTGTTTTGTGGGAAAACAGCTCAGAATCTGGAACTGTGTCTGCAGCGTCATGTGCAGCAGTCGGCTCTTGGTAAAATATCGAGTCAACACATGAAACCCACAGGTGTCCCAGCAGTCAGGGTGGGACCTGAAAGGATCAGTGGGGAAAACCCCCAGAGCTCAGACCGTGTGGGGCTACCCTCACAGAATAACAGGAAGCTTAAGACAACATATCCTTCTGAGGAGTCACAGAAGAAACGCTCCTCTGATGAAACTGATGCTGGATTTGTCGGCACATTTACCCTCCACCATGCGGCCCAGTCGCCTTGGGGCTCCTTCTTATATTAAAACAATACAGTCTTTGGATCCAGGTGTTGTAAGTCTAAAAAGGTCCATTTAAAAAACCTCAAAAACAAAAAAAAGTGTTCGGGCACACTCCTTTTTTCAATGTCAAGTCCTTAAAGGTCAGAAAAGATGACCTGAAAATGTTGTCAGCTATTCCATAAATATCAAGCTTTTCACTTACGCTGTGTGTGTGTGTTTTAAGAAAAATGTCAAAAATCTCCACATACACGAACACACACTTTTTGTCAATGGCCTTAAGAATAGACTTCTTGGGGGGCCAGCTGGTAGCATGGTGGTCGAGACAGCTGGATTCCACCTGGCTAATGATGTGGTTTGAATCCCAGACCTGGCCACTTGAAAAAAACATTGGGTGTCTGTGTGTGCATGCCCAAAATCCAGAAAGGAGTGAAAAGTGGGAGAGGAGGGATTGTGGCATGACCATTCCCTATGAGGTGAGCTCGCTCGGTGTCTCTCTCCCTCCTTCCCTTTTTCTCCCCCTCACCCCACCAAGTACAAGTGCTGCCTGGCAAAGAAGAAGAAGAGGAAGAGGAAGAAGAGGAAGAGGAAGAAGAGGAAGAGGAGGAAGAGGAAGAAGAGGAAGAAGAAGAAGAGGAAGAAGAGGAAGAAGAAGAAGAGGAAGAAGAAGAGGAAGAAGAGGAAGAAGAAGAGGAAGAAGAGGAGGAAGAAGAGGAAGAAGAGGAAGAAGAAGAAGAGGAAGAGGAGGAAGAGGAGGAAGAAGAGGAGGAAGAGGAGGAAGAAGAGGAAGAAGAGGAGGAAGAAGAGGAAGAAGAGGAGGAAGAGGAAGAAGAAGAGGAAGAAGAAGAAGAATATACTTGTTTAGGCAACAATTAAGTTTTGGGCACCTCTGAAAAACCAACCTTCTACTTGATGAATCTGCTCATTGAAAAAGACTGACAAGGAAGACGCATGTCAAACAAAGCAAAGTTTGAAAGAAGAAAGAAAGAGGAGCTACAGTTAGAGAAGCTGAAACTGTTAATTCCAAACGATTTTCATTTACAAACTTTTGATTAAAGTCTTTTTTTTTTGATAAAACATGTTGCAGTATTGATTTGAAGGACTTTTAGGTACAAATTTATGTAGATAACCTATTTCATACCATAATCATTTATCATCATTGAAAGTACTATTTCCAAATTTTGCTATGCTCATTTGTACGGTATAGTAGGTTAGGACATCTATTTAGGATGGCTCTGTATGCTCTAAAGATGCTTCTGTGGCTAGTGTTTAACATTTAAATTATCTTTCAGTACAGAATGATATAAAAGGGGAAAGGATTTTTTTTTTTTTTTTGAGTAAGCTACCCAGAGTTTTATGAATCTACTTTTGAGTATAACATAAGGGCCATAGCTTTCAGAGGTAGCTTTACTGCTCCTGTTCAAATTTTTCCTTTTCCTCAGATTCCACAAAGAAGTTACTGCACGTCAGGTAACAATTCATGGTAAAAACATACTGTGCAATCTGGGTCTCACTCTTATAAAGCAAAGAGCAGTCAAAGAAAACTTCCCAAGCTGCACTGGCAGCTGGAAACACTAGGGGGAGTTGAGAGCACACATTCCTCTGACCAGGATACCCAATGCTCTTTCCCAACTGATCTCAACCTGGGTTAACCAAGGAAGGTTTGAATATATGATTCCAAAATTCATGCACTGAAATTTGGTTACTATTGTGACAGTATTAAAATGGTAGACCCTTCATCTGACTACAGCATTAACAGACAGAGTCTCTAAAAGGTCATTAGGATTAGATAAGGTCATTAGGGAGGGGCTCCCATCCTTGAATACTGGCGACTTTAAAAGCAGGACAGAGACCAGCACTGCCACACACTCTTGCTCTCCCACCACGTGAGAGGACCCTCACCAGATATAGCTCCTCAAACCTGGGACTCTGGAACCATGAATTGAATAAATGGTTATTCTTAATAAATTACCCAGTCTGTGGTATTCAGTTACAGAAACAAAAAAACTGAGGGGAACTGAGCTGTAACTGGCCCAGGATCACCTGCTATTAAAATGCACTACCCTTCTAGGCCCAACAGGTGGCATGGTGGTGGTTAAGGCATTAGACTCCCACGTGGCCGACCATGGTTCAAGTCCCAGACCTGGTGGCTTGCTTTCTCATTTTCTCTCTGTCTCTCTGAAGTACACGTGCTCTATAGCAAAAATTTAAAAAGTAACAGTAAATCAAATTAAATAATTCTGTAAAACACACAAACACACACTACCCTTCTACACATGAGTAGCTTTCAAAAGAGATCAACATCAAAACCAGCCAGAGCCCAGTCAATGAGGTAAGCAGAGACAGAGAAAGTACTCAGGCAGTGGTACTTGCCCTTTCTCTGGCTGGGAATCCTTCACCCACTACCATGTGAAGCCCACCACGTGAGAGGACCCTCACCAGATATAGCTCCTCAAACCTGGGACTCTGGAACCATGAATTGAATAAATGGTTATTCTTAATAAATTACCCAGTCTGTGGTATTCAGTTACAGAAACAAAAAAACTGAGGGGAACTGAGCTGTAACTGGCCCAGGATCACCTGCTATTAAAATGCACTACCCTTCTAGGCCCAACAGGTGGCATGGTGGTGGTTAAGGCATTAGACTCCCACGTGGCCGACCATGGTTCAAGTCCCAGACCTGGTGGCTTGCTTTCTCATTTTCTCTCTGTCTCTCTGAAGTACACGTGCTCTATAGCAAAAATTTAAAAAGTAACAGTAAATCAAATTAAATAATTCTGTAAAACACACAAACACACACTACCCTTCTACACATGAGTAGCTTTCAAAAGAGATCAACATCAAAACCAGCCAGAGCCCAGTCAATGAGGTAAGCAGAGACAGAGAAAGTACTCAGGCAGTGGTACTTGCCCTTTCTCTGGCTGGGAATCCTTCACCCACTACCATGTGAAGCCCAGGCTAGCCCACTGGATGATGAAAAGAACAAAGCCAAGTCAGCGCTGTGGTCCCAGCTAACATTGAGCCAACTATCAGATTTGTGAGTGAGGCCATACTAGACCACCATGTCCCCACTGAGCCAGCCCAGGTGAGAATTACTGCCTAATCAGTCCACAAAACTGATTCACACCCCTAACTTTTAGGGTAGTTTGTTACTCAGTGAAAGCTGACTGATGCATGCAGTAATCCTACAGTGTGATAACCTACCTAGGCAACGACCCTGCTGGAAGACCACAATGCTGACAGCCACTTGGAAGAGTTTTCTACCTACGGAAACCCCATTTGCACGAGGCCCCCCTCAAGTGCGACCTCTCTCATGAAACCTTTTGTGATTTCCAGCCCTTGACTCAGCAAGCCCTCACACTGTTTATTCCTCTTGATCAATATTCACGTGAGGTATAGCTTATCTACACCATAAGGCTCTCAAAGGCATATGCTAATAAATCTGTCACTTGGGTCTTTACTGAAATTGCAGTTTAAAAAAACTCTTCAACTCAGTAGAAAAACAGTTTTAGAAAAGATAAACTTTTCAAGTTTTCTATATGTTTGGAAGTTTTCACAAAAGGCTGTGAGAAGGAAAAAACACACCTATTTTTCACTTACTCAACATGATACTATAAACACTGTTACATACTGAATGTTTGCCCCCCCACCTCAAATTCCTATGTTGAAACCTCATCCTCATGTGATGGTTTTCACAGGTAGAGCCTTTGGGAAGTGAATAGGAGTAGGGGGGTAAGCCCTCATGAATGGAATTAGTGCCCTTATTTGAAACTGGAACTATCGACTTCTCCTCCTTCTATATGAGGTTTTTGGGCAGAAAACAACTGTGTATGAAGCAGGAGGCAGGCCATCACCAGATACCAAATCTGCTGAGCTTTGATCTCGGACTTCCCAGCCTCCAGAACTGTGAGAATTACATTTCTGTTGGTAAGATACATAGTTTGCTATTTTGTCATAGCAGCCCAAACAAAGCAAAACACCATGATCTCAGGGGTGAGGCTTTGTTCACAATTTTCTCTCAGCACTTGGGAAAGTGCCTGGCACATGGTTCCTGCCACACGCAGCTGTAAAATGGACACAAGGAGGGAATGCAATGAAAAGAGAGATCACCGCCAGAAGAAAATGAAGAAGAACCATAGCATCAAAGTCATTCATGTGCTCCAGAGGAAATGATGACGCTGATCAAAAGAAAAATTGTGGCCAAAGCTTCTCACTCAAGCCCATACCTAGGCTGCCAGGTGAACAAGTGTGCTGTGTGTTCTCGTCACACCCTCGGCTCCTGGTCTGTGGCCAACTCTGCTCCCAACCAGGTGACGTGTGTGGTTACCCACAATCAGGCCTGGTTATGTAAGAAAGTTCTGACAATTCTGCCTTCTTTTTTTTTTTTTTGAGAGGTTTTCACTATAGGGCGCGTGTGCTCATCAGACAGAGAGAGACATAGAGACAGAAAGCAAGAAATCACCCCCCAGGGGGGATGGTCATGCCGCAATCCCTTCTCCTCCATTCTCCTCTCGGGATCTTGGGCATGCACGCACACACGGCCGGGCGTGAGTTTTAAGCCACTGGGTCCAGGACGCAAACTGCGGTCGACTACATGGGAGTCCAGCGACATAGCCATTACACTAACTGCTGGCTCCCACAATTCTGCTTTTTAATTAACTATCATGTGAACTGACAAAAGGAATTTTAAAAGTCCCTGTTTCTATGAGAACATAGTTAAATGTTTAGAAAGACTATACCAAAATGAATGGTTAAGGACCAGCAGTTGGCGTAATGGCTATGTTGCTGGACTCCCATGTAGTCGACCGCAATTTGAGTCCCAGACCCAGTGGCTTAAACTCAAGCCGGGTGCATGTGCGTGTGTGCCCAAGATCTTGAGAGGAGAATGGAGGAGAAGGGATTGCGGCATGACCATCCCCCCTGGGGGGTGATTTCTTGCTTCCTCTCTGTCTCTTTCTGGCAAGTGCATGTGACCTATAGCAAAAAACCTCTCCAAAAACAAAACCTCTCCAGTTTCTAGCTGTCAGGACCTGCAAGTGGTGCACTGATTAAGGTGCTAGACTACTGCATGGCCAACCACGGTTTAAGTTCCAGACCCAGCAGCTTGAAAAATCATACCAGGTACATATATGTGTGTGGCATGTCCAAAATCCCAAGAGGAAAATGGAGGAGAAGTGACTGTGGCATGGCCATGCCCCTATGGGGGTAATTTCTTACCTTCCCTCTCGCTGTCTCTGTCTCTCTCTCTCTGGAGAGCACACTCATCCTATGGCAAAAAAAAATCTTAAAAAAAAAGAAACACTGTCAAATTAGGTGAGAGAATACTCCCAAGAACTAAAAAAAAAAAAAAGATAAGTGAAATGATTCAGATTGTTTCACAAAGATCTTTAAATCTTACTCTTTTTAAAAAAGAGTGAAAGGGGCCAGGGAACCAGCAGTTAGCGTAATGGCTACATGGCTATGTCGCTGGACTCCCACATAGTCGACCGCAGTTCGTGTCCCGGACCCGGTGGCTTAAAAAACTCACGCCGGGCGCGTGTGCGTGCGTGCCAAGATCCCGAGAGGAGAATGGAGGAGAAGGGACTGCGGCGTGACCATCCCCTCTGGGGGGTGATTTCTCGCTTTCTGTCTCTCTGTCTCTCTCTGTCTAGAGAGCGCACGCGCCCTATAGCGAAAACCTCTCCAAAAAAAAGAGTGAAAGGGGACAGATGAAGGTACAATAGTATTTTTCATAAGAAAAAATAAACTTAAAATAAATAAGTAAATAAATAATTGGAAATGTAGACATCATATTATTTTTAATATTTTACGAAAGAATGATCACAAGAAACGTGGAGGATTCCACACAAAGCGAAGCCTTGACTTCCTTTCAAGCACACAGTCATTGCATATACTGGGCCGTCAGAAAAGGCACGACGTATTTTTCTATGCAAAAATGCATCATGACTTTTCCAACAACCTGATACAATGATAGGTTGTAAGTTAAAATAAAAAGCAAAATGTGTGTTAATACAATTTTTAACTAACATTTTTATTGACCAGTTTCTAGTCATGATAGCAAGAGGGAAGTATCTGCTCTGGACCCAAGGGAGAGAATTCACAACTCAAACATGGCCGCGCAAAGGCCACTGACCTTCGGAAGGGAGGGAACCCACAGAGGAGGATGTACGTGATCACGCCGGCTGCCCAGATGTCCACCTTCAGGCCGTAGCTGGGGAGACAAGGCAGGTGGGAGGGGAAGAAAGGATGAAAGATAGCACACCCAGCACCTTCCCTGTTCTAGACAATTGTCTTGCTAGGAAGAGGGTCTGTTTGGTATCAAACTATTCATTTTCTATAGAGGAATTAATTACCATTTCAACCAAGGCATCTGTTTTCTCCCACAGAGAGAAAACCTAACCACAGTTTTGGTGACTACTGCCATGATCAGAGGCTGGCTGTGGGACAAAATGGCAGGCCGGAGGAGCAGAAAGTCTAGCCCCTGAGACAAACATCCCAGCAAGGCCTGCAGTCGACCCTCTCACCCTGCCACCCCCATTGGAGCTGCAGAATACAAGCCAAAGCAGCACCAACATCCCTTGTCCCACCAAAGTTAAAGCATTAACCTAAGCCACCAGGGCCCAATCTTACCCGGTTTCGGCAATGATTTCTGGAGCCACGTAAGTTGGTGTGCCACAGACGGTGTACAAAGGACCTTCCACCACCGTCGCCAGCCCAAAGTCTCCCAGTTTCAAAGACTTGGTTCCATCGGAATATTCACACACCTGGGACAGAAACCAGCCGGGAATCAGAAAGGATTTTTTTAGAAAGGTTTTTGTTTGTTTGTTTTAGATAGAGACTTTTGCTATAGGGCGCATGCTCCTCGAGAGAGATAGAGAGAAAGAGAGAGATGGAAAGTAGGAAATCATCCCCTGGGGGATGGCCATGCCACAATCCCTCTCCTCCGTTCTCCTCTCTGGATTTTGGGCACACAAGCACATGCGGCCAGCATGAGTTTCAAGTCGCTGGGTCTGAAACTTGAATAGCGGTCAGCCAGGTGAGAGTCCAGCAACGTAAACATTACGCTATCTGCCGGTCCCAGGAGGGCTTTTTTTTTTTAACCTCAGCAATTGCAAGCAAGTCCTTGGAATTAGACAGAAAGGATACAGATATGCTTACTGATAAACTCAGAAGAAATTTTCCTTGTGATATTAGCACTATGGTTTACCGTTGCTGCTTTCGAGTGTTCATTTTTCTCTTTAGAGACTTTGCAAGTCTGTAAATTTGGAAAAGACAGTATTTTGCAGGAAATACCTCCCCTAGGAATATAACGAGTACACGAGCAGTTAGGGGGTGGAGGTGGCACCTTACCTGACAGGCCTGAGAGAGGCCTACGAGTCTGGAGGCAGGACAAATCTTAGCACATACTGAGTGTGTAGGACTGCAGGGCCCGAGGAAGGGCATTTACGTGTCTACCACAAGCACTGGGCATTTCTCAAGAGATTTGGTGTTTAGTTTGGAAAGTAAAATTAGGGGCAGGGACACAGGTCTTGTTTTCTAGACAATGATAAAATATAAACTTATAGGGAAAAACTTGGGATGTTTATAAAGAAAAAATACACTTTGGGATCAGGCACCCTGACGTTGAATACAAATCCACTTCTCTCGGGCTTGTGACGTTTTGACCTCTCTGAGCACGTGTCTTCATCTGTGAAGGGAGGACACCAGCACCCTCCCCATGGAGTTGGTGTGAAGATGAAATGAAAGAAAGCTCAGAATAGGCTCAAGATATGTTCCTTCTAGGAAGTGATTAATGATCATATTGGAAAAGGTTTAAAAATGCCGATACAGATGTGAATATTTATGTTTAAACTGAAGCAACTTCTTTACGTGTAAGGGGGCATATATACTCACAGAGAGAGGGGAGAAATGCCCCCAGTGGGGGGTGCTCAGACTGCAATCTCTTCTCCTCTACTCTTCCATCTTGTTGGGATCTTGGGCAATCACACACACACCCATACCCTGTGTGTTTTTCAAGCCACCAAGGATTTGAACCACGGTTGACCATGTGGGATCTGACTCCCCTAACCACTAGGCTATGGGGTCAGCCTAAAGTAACTTGTCCAGAAAGCATTTCATACATATGAAATTTCATATTAAGAAATACCAAATTTTTCCTGATTTATACCTTTCACTCCATAAGTTTACTTATAATAACCTATTCTAAAGGAATACGGATGAATCTAAAGGTTACCACAGGGATGCCAGTCTCAGAATTTATGATCTTTAAAACCTGGAAGGAACATAAATGGCGACAGGGCAATGACTTAGTAAATTATGGTACATCCCTAAGATAAAAGATAATTCAGTCACTAATAAGCACTGTTAAGGCAAATATTAATCATATGGGAAATAGTCACTCAATTATGTCAAGTTAAAAAGGAGTAGCCAGGGGCCAGCAGATGGCGCAATGGTTATATCACTGGACTCCCACATAGTTGACAGTGGTTCATATCCTGGACCCGGCAGCTTAACAGCTTACACACACTTCGGTGTGTGTTTGTGTGTGTGTGTCCAAGATCCTGAGAGGAGAATGGAGGAGAAAGGATTGTGGTGTGGCCATCCTCACTGGGGGGTGATTTCTCGCTTTCTGTCTCTCTGTCCCTCCAGTGAGTACACGAACCCTATAGCAAAACTCTCTCTCTAAAAAAAAAAAAAAAAAAAAGCAAAATTAAACTCAAAAAAAAAAAAAAAAAAAAAAAAGCAATATCCAAAGTGATCTATAAAACCCAGTAATGCAGTAACCCAGGCATCAGCAGGTGGCATGGTGGTTAAGGTGCTGGACTCCCACATAGCTGACTGCGGTTAGAGCCCCAGACTCAGTGGCTGAAAATCACACTGCCATACATGCGTGGATGCCCAAAATCCTGAGAGGGAATGGAGGAGACGGGATTACAGTATGGCCATGCCCCCCCCCCCCCGGGGATGATTTCCCACTTTCTGTCTCCCTTGCGGAGTGCATGTGCCCTGGGGCAAAAATCTCTCTCTCAATAAAACAGAGGGACACTTCAATACCTCCCTGACCTCTGATACCCTTATTTGTTAAATAGGAACACTGTTTGCCTTTGTATTTGAATAGCTTCGTCATTCCTAGGCACCGCATACCACACTTCGCACACGGCTTTCTGACTGAAAAGTTTCAGAGACGTCCCGGTGAGAACGTTGGGCCCAGATATTTACAGTTCTGCGTCGGCCACCACTCGGCAGAAACATTCAGAGCTATTCCCGATTTCGCCTAGGGTAACAGAATCCAGATTCTCGGTCACGCCAGCGTCTTAGGACAGCCTTTCCATCCATTATGTGTAATGTAAACACTAACGAGAACAATCTGAAATAATTACAGCTAGAATTTATGATGCATTTACCGAAACCCAGACTCGAGAAGGAAATTCCCGAAGTAATTGCAGCGATAAGGACATTATAAGCACAATTTCCTCAATGTCTGCATCAGAGGCGTAAAAAGAGTCTTGTTAATGTCATTGTTATTTTGTTTTTACAGCTTAAAAATACACTCTTCAGGTAATTTTTGAAAAATAGTGTTGATTTTAAACGCACTATTTTGAGATGCCTAGAGCCACTTAGGGGTTCTGGTCAGATACTCAGTCCCAGAAGTCATTTTTTTTTTTTTTAACATCCCCTATAAAAAACCCAGAGTCAGATGCAGGAGCAGAAATAGAAAGGGACAGGACAGTTTCCAATCACGGAATTATGTCTGAGCAAGTGGTGCTCCCTGGCCAAACATGCAAAGGAAGTGCCGTACGGCGAGGGCGAGCCGGAAGTAAAAATATTTATCTGCTACTCTCTCCCCAGTGAGAGACACAGAGGCAAACATGTATGGTAAAAGATAACGAGTACGTTTCACATCTCAGCCGGAGGGTCTCTTCCAAGCAGGATCAGAAGTGAGTGCGTGTGTGTCTATAGGAAGAGGCACACATGGCATTGCTTTAAGAAACTGACTTTAAAAAAGAAAGAAAGAAAGGAACCAGCAGTTGGCATAATGGCTATGTCGCTGGACTCCCACGTAGTCGACCGCGGTTCGTATCCCGGACCCGGTGGCTTAAAACTCACGCCGGGCGCGTGTGCGTGCGTGCCCAAGATCCCGAGAGGAGAATGGAGGAGAAGGGGTTGCGGCGTGACCATCCCCCCTG